TCACAAAAAAATTCTGATCCTGTAATCTACGTGTTGACAAGCTGTTGGTCTCCATCACTCCACCAAGCAGTAGATACTTGTCTTAAGATTCTTCTACTTGACTGCTTTCATCAGATTAAGCATCTGGGATTTAATTTAACAGTCTCAGCTTTATTAAGCTGTCACAAGAGCAGCCCCGCTTTGATAACAGTAGCTGCTCCAATTATGGTTTGGTTTAGGGTTGACAAGTATAATGATTCATTCGTGGCACATGAGAAGCAATAAAAGGTTGTTTTGCATTACAGCTTTAAAAATGTGGGCACTTTTTTCATTTAATTTGTCACTTAGCTTTTGCTAAGAGGACATTTAAATTGCAGTAAAAGGCAAATGGGGCTTTTAGTTTAAATGTAATCCCCATATTTAAATGATCTGTAATGGCGCAGTGTTCGAGTGGGAACACTATTGTTTCGCAGTGGGCCCTGATGGTGACATGTGACATTTGTATTCAGGTCCTGTATTATCCATGTGGCTAAAGGGCTTCCAATTTCATTTCACAGCCAGAAGCCTGCAGAAAACACCAATTAACTTGCAGATCCCATTTGCAGACAAAACTCAGCCTCTTCCCTATGTCTGGCATCTGGTAGTGCTCAACATTTAATTCCAAAGCAGAGCCTCACGGCCATCATGATCCCTAGGCTGGGGCACAAAGTCAAGTTTCCACACCCCCTTATCTCCCCTCACTCCCCCCTTTTTTCCTTTTAAAGTCAATATTTTCACTTTCATGGAGAACAAACAACTTTTAATTTTTCATGGATGAATATTAACAAATTATTGATGTAGTAAGATTACATGGTCCATTTTTTCTCCTCTAGACTACAAAGGTGGTTAACTGACCTTTGATTTAAATCAGAGATCTCCATTCAACAGGTGTCAGCAGGTACTTACTGTGCACTTCCATATCCCCTCATTTCAGCAATGCAATTTAATTAAAAAGGCAAACAAAGAGGCTTCAGACAATTAATCATTCTGGTATACTAAAGTCTTCAACCATGGTCACCAACAGTTAGACACCTAAGGGTCAGCATGTGAAATTTACCTACTGAGACACCATTTTAACAGCAACAATGTGAAGAATTCCAAATACGCTCTAAACTCTGGAAAGCGCATTCACGTATTATTGAGGTAACATCACTGAAGTTGCATTTAATTCTTCTGGTATGAGAAGTATATGAGCAAGCCTTTACCTTTGATCTGTAATCCTGATCTTCCAATACTACACCTTCAGTAAGTAGCATTTAGCTCAACCCATTTTTGATGGGAAGCTGCTCAACTATTACACTGTTCCTCTTGATCTAAAGTCTTTAAAAAACAACTAGATAGTTAGGTGTAAAGGCTTTTTTGTTAACTTGAGGCTTTTCAATTGTAAATTGCTTACAGAATTTGGTCTTTGCATTAAAAAAATCACCAGGTTCATACCTGGATATGTAGTATTTGTGGGCTGTGGGTGGATTGTTGGGTTTTTTTTTGGTGGGTGTTGTTTTTTCTTTTTGGCATGTGTTTTTTAGCAGTGGCAGGTAGGGGCAGAAGGGGTGTGTCAGCACCTCCAAATATTCAAACCCAATCTGACTTCTGCTAAAGTCCACAATTTAC